TTCTCCCGCTTTCCATCACCCCGCCCCATTCTCCCGCTTTCCATCACCCCGCCCCCATTCTCCCTCCTTCCATCACCCCGCCTCATTCTCCCTCCTTCCATCACCCCGCCCTATTCTCCCGCTTTCCATTACCCCGCCCCATTCTCCCGCTTTCCATCACCCCGCCCCATTCTCCCACTTTCCATCACCCCGCCCCATTCTCCCGCTTTCCATAACCCCGCCCCATTCTCCTGCTTTCCATCACCCCGCCCCATTCTCCTGCTTTCCATCACCCCGCCCCATTCTCCCTCCTTCCATCACCCCGCCCCATTCTCCCTCCTTCCATCACCCCACCTCACTCTCCCTCCTTCCATCACCCCGCCCCATTCTCCCACTTTCCATCACCCCGCCCTATTCTCCCGCTTTCCATCACCCTGCCCCATTCTCCCGCTTTCCATCACCCTGCCCCGTTCTCCAGCTTTCCATCACCCTGCCCCATTCTCCCGCTTTCCATCACCTTGCCCCATTCTCCTGCTATCCATCACCCCGCCCCATTCTCCCTCCTTCCATCACCCCGCCCCATTTTCCCTCCTTCCATCACCCCGCCCCGTTCTCCCTCCTTCCATCACCCCGCCCCATTCTTCCTCCTTCCATTACCCCGCCCCATTCTTCCGCTCTACATCAGCCCGCCCCATTCTCCTGCTTTCCATCACCCCGCCCCATTCTCCCGCTTTCCATCACCCCGCCCCATTCTCCCGCTTTTCATCACCCCGCCCCATTCTCCCGCTTTCCATCACCCCGCCCCATTCTCCTGCTTTCCCTCACCCCGCCCCATTCTCTAGCTTTCCATCACCCCGCCCCATTCTCCCGCTTACCATCAACCCGCCCCATTCTCCCGCTTTCTATCATCCGTCCCCATTCTCCCTCCTTCCGTCACCCCGCCCCATTCTCCCTCCTTCCGTCACCCCGCCCCATTCTCCCGCTTTCCATCACCTCGCCCCATTCTCCCGCTTTTTATCACCCCGCCACATTCTCCCGCTTTCCATCACCCTGCCCGATTCTCCCTCCTTCCATCACCCCACACCATTCTCCCGCTTTCCATCACCCCGCCCCATTCTCCTGCTTTCGATCACCCCTCCCCATTCTCCCGCTTTCCATCACCCCGCCCCATTCTCCCGCTTTCCATCACCACGCCCCATTCTCCCGCTTTCCATCACCCCGCCCCATTCTCCCGCTTTCCCTCACCCCGCCCCATTCTCCAACTTTCCATCACCGCGCCCCATTCTCACGCTTCCCATCAACCCGCCCCATTCTCCCGCTTTCTATCACCCGTCCCCATTCTCCCTCCTTCCATCACCCCGCCCCATTCTCCCGCTTTCCATCACCCCGCCCCATTCTCCCACTTTCCATCACCCCGCCCCATTCTCCCGCTTTCCATAACCCCGCCCCATTCTCCTGCTTTCCATCAGCCCGCCCCATTCTCCTGCTTTCCATCACCCCGCCCCATTCTCCCTCCTTCCATCGCCCCGCCCCATTCTCCCTCCTTCCATCACCCCACCTCATTCTCCCTCCTTCCATCACCCCGCCCCATTCTCCCACTTTCCATCACCCCGCCCTATTCTCCCGCTTTCCATCACCCTGCCCCATTCTCCCGCTTTCCATCACCCTGCCCCGTTCTCCAGCTTTCCATCACCCTGCCCAATTCTCCCGCTTTCCATCACCTTGCCCCATTCTCCCACTATCTATCACCCTGCCCCATTCTCCCTCCTTCCATCACCCCGCCCCATTCTCCCTCCTTCCATCACCCCGCCCCATTCTCCCTCCTTCCATCACCCCGCCCCATTCTCCCTCCTTCCATTACCCCGCCCCATTCTTCCGCTCTACATCAGCCCGCCCCATTCTCCTGCTTTCCATCACCCCGCCCCATTCTCCCGCTTTCCATCACCCCGCCCCATTCTCCCGCTTTCCATCACCCCGCCCCATTCTCCCGCTTTCCATCACCCCGCCACATTCTCCTGCTTTCCCTCACCCCGCCCCATTCTCCAGCTTTCCATCACCCTGCCCCATTCTCCCGCTTACCATCAACCCGCCCCATTCTCCCGCTTTCTATCATCCGTCCCCATTCTCCCTCCTTCCGTCACCCTGCCCCATTCTCCCTCCTTCCGTCACCCCGCCCCATTCTCCCGCTTTCCATCACCTCGCCCCATTCTCCCGCTTTTTATCACCCCGCCACATTCTCCCGCTTTCCATCACCCTGCCCGATTCTCCCTCCTTCCATCACCCCACACCATTCTCCCGCTTTCCATCACCCCGCCCCATTCTCCTGCTTTCGATCACCCCTCCCCATTCTCCCGCTTTCCATCACCCCGCCCCATTCTCCCGCTTTCCATCACCACGCCCCATTCTCCCGCTTTCCATCACCCCGCCCCATTCTCCCGCTTTCCCTCACCCTGCCCCATTCTCCAGCTTTCCATCACCGCGCCCCATTCTCATGCTTCCCATCAACCCGCCCCATTCTCCCGCTTTCTATCACCCGTCCCCATTCTCCCTCCTTCCATCACCCCGCCCCATTCTCCCGCTTTCCATCACCCCGCCCCATTCTCCCGCTTTCCATCACCTCGCCCCATTCTCCCGCTTTTTATCACCCCGCCCCATTCTCCCGCTTTCCATCGCCCCGCCCCATTCTCCCTCTTTCCATCACCCCGCCCCATTCTCCCTCTTTCCATTACCCAGCCCCATTCTCCTGCTTTCCATCACCCCACCCCATTCTCCCTCTTTCCAACACCCCGCCCCATTCTCCCGCTTTCTATGACCCCACCCCATTCTCCCGCTTTCCATCACCCCGCCCCATTCTCCCTCTTTCCATCACCCCGCCCCATTCTCCCGCCTTTCATCACCCCGCCCCATTCTCCCGCTTTCCATCACCCCGCCCAATTCTCCCGCTTTCCATCACCCCGCCCCATTCACGCCTTCCATCACCCCGCCCCATTCTCCCTCTTTCCATCACCCCGCCCCATTCTCACGCTTTCCATCACCCCGCCCCATTTTCCCTCTTTCCATCACAACGCCCCATTCTCCCGCTTTCCATCACCCCGCCCCATTCTCCCTCTATCCATCATCCCGCCCAATTCTCCCACTTTCCATCACCCCGTCCCATTCTCCTGTTTTCCATCACCCCGCCCCATTCTCTCGCTTTCCATCACCCCGCCTTATTCTCCCGCTTTCCATCACCCCGCCCCATTCTCCCGATTTCCATCACCCCACCCCATTCTCCCTCTTTCCATCACCCCGCCCCATTCTCCCACTTTCCATCACCCCGCCCCATTCTCCCGCTTTCCAACACCCCGACCCATTCTCCCGCTTTCCATCACCCCGCACCATTCTCCCTCTTTCCATCGCCCCGCCCCATTCTCCATCCTTCCATCACCCCGCCCCATTCTCCCTCCTTCCATCACCCCGCCCCATTCTCCCTCCTTCCATCACCCCGCCCCATTCTCCCTCCTTCCATTACCCCGCCCCATTCTCCTGCTTTCCATCACCCCGCCCCATTCTCCCGCTTTCCATCACCCCGCCCCATTCTCCCGCTTTCCATCACCCTGCCCCATTCTCCCGCTTTCCATCACCCCGCCACATACTCCTGCTTTCTCTCACCCTGCCCCATTCTCCCTCCTTCCATTACCCCGCCCCATTCTCCAGCTTTCCATCACCCCGCCCCATTCTCCCGCTTACCATCAACCCGCCCCATTCTCCCGCTTTCTATCATCCGTCCCCATTCTCCCTCCTTCCGTCACCCCGCCCCATTCTCCCTCCTTCCGTCACCCCGCCCCATTCTCCCGCTTTCCATCACCTCGCCCCATTCTCCCGCTTTTTATCACCCCGCCACATTCTCCCGCTTTCCATCACCCTGCCCGATTCTCCCTCCTTCCATCACCCCACACCATTCTCCCGCTTTCCATCACCCCGCCCCATTCTCCTGCTTTTGATCACCCCTCCCCATTCTCCCGCTTTCCATCACCCCGCCCCATTCTCCCGCTTTCCATCACCCCGCCCCATTCTCCCGCTTTCCATCACCCCGCCCCATTCTCCCGCTTTCCCTCACCCCGCCCCATTCTCCAGCTTTCCATCACCGCGCCCCATTCTCACGCTTCCCATCAACCTGCCCCATTCTCCCGCTTTCTATCACCCGTCCCCATTCTCCCTCCTTCCATCACCCCGCCCCATTCTCCCGCTTTCCATCACCCCGCCCCATTCTCCCGCTTTCCATCACCTCGCCCCATTCTCCCGCTTTTTATCACCCCGCCCCATTCTCCCGCTTTCCATCGCCCCGCCACATTCTCCCTCTTTCCATCACCCCGCCCCATTCTCCCTCTTTCCATTACCCCGCCCCATTCTCCTGCTTTCCATCACCCCACCCCATTCTCCCTCTTTCCATCACCCCGCCCCATTCTCCCGCTTTCTATCACCCCACCCCATTCTCCTGCTTTCCATCACCCCGCCCCATTCTCCCTCTTTCCATCACCCCGCCCCATTCTCCCGCCTTTCATCACCCCGCCCCATTCTCCCGCTTTCCATCATCCCGCCCAATTCTCCCGCTTTCCATCACCCCGCCCCATTCCCGCCTTCCATCACCTCGCCCCATTCTCCCTCTTTCCATCACCCCGCCCCATTCTCACGCTTTCCATCACCCCGCCCCATTTTCCCTCTTTCCATCACAACGCCCCTTTCTCCCGCTTTCCATCACCCCGCCCCATTCTCCCTCTATCCATCATCCCGCCCAATTCTCCCACTTTCCATCACCCCGTCCCATTCTCCCGTTTTCCATCACCCCGCCCCATTCTCTCGCTTTCCATCACCCCGCCTTATTCTCCCGCTTTCCATCACCCCGCCCCATTCTCCCGATTTCCATCACCCCACCCCATTCTCCCTCTTTCCATCACCCCGCCCCATTCTTCCACTTTCCATCACCCCGCCCCATTCTCCCGCTTTCCAACACCCCGACCCATTCTCCCGCTTTCCATCACCCCGCACCATTCTCCCTCTTTCCATCACCCCGCCCCATTCTCCCTCTTTCCATCACCCCGCCCCATTCTCCCGCTTTCCATCACCCCGCGCCATTTTCCCTCTTTCCATCACCCCGCCCCATTCTCCCACTTTCCATCACCCTGCCCCATTCTCCCGCTATCCATCACCCCGCTCCATTGTCCCGCTTTCCATCACCCCGCCCAATTCTCCCTCTTCCCATCACCCCTCCCCATTCTCCCTCTTTCTATCACCCCGCCCCATTCTCCCGCTTTCCATCACCCCGCCCCATTCTCCCTCTTTCCATCACCCCTCCCCATTCTCCCTCTTTCCATTACCCCGCCCCATTCTCCTGCTTTCCATCACCCCGCCCCATTCTCCCTCTTTCCATCACCCCGCCCCATTCTCCCGCTTTCTATCACCCCACCCCATTCTCCCGCTTTCCATCACCCCGTCCCGTTCTCCCTCTTTCCATCACCCCGCCCCATTCTCCCGCCTTTCATCACCCCGCCCCATTCTCCCGCTTTCCATCACCCCGCCCCATTCTCCCGCCTTCCATGACCCCGCCCCATTCTCCCTCTTTCCATCACCCCGCCCCATTCTCACGCTTTCCATCACCCCGCCCCATTCTCCCTCTTTCCATCACCTGCCCCATTCTCCCGCTTTCCATCACCCCGCCCCATTCTCCCTCTATCCATCACCCCGCCCAATTCCCCCACTTTCCATCACCCCGTCCCATTCTCCCGTTCTCCACTAGAGATAGGCGCCCCTAGAGATAGGTGCCCATAGAGATAGACGCCCATAGAGATAGGCGCCCATAGAGATAGGCACCCATAGAGATAGGCGCCCATAGAGATATGCGCCCATAGAGATAGGCGCCCATAGAGATAGGCGCCCCTAGAGATAGGTGCCCCTAGAGAAAGGCGCCCATAAAGATAGTCGCCCAAAGAGATAGGCGCCCATAGAGATAGGCGCCCCTAGAGATAGCCGCCACTAGATATAGGCGCCCCTAGAGATAAGGTGCCCATAGAGATAGGCGCCCATAGAGATAGGCGCCCATAGAGATAGGCGCCCAAAGAGATAGGCGCCCCTAGAGATAGGCGCCCCTAGAGATAGGCGCCCAAAGAGATAGGCGCCCATAGAGATAGGCGCCCCTAGAGATAGCCGCCCCTAGAGATAGGCACCCCTAGAGATAGGCGCCCCTAGAGATAGGCGCCCCTGGAGATAGGCGGCCCTAGAGATAGGTGCCCCTAGAGATAGCCGCCCCTAGAGAAAGGCACCCCTAGAGATAGGCGCAACTAGAGATAGGCGCCCCTAAAGATAGGCGCCCCTAGAGATAGGTGCCCCTAGAGGTAGGCGCCCCTAGAGATGGGCGACCATAGAGATAGGCACCTCTAGAGATTGGCGCCCCTAAAAAGAGGCGCCCATAGAGATAGGCGCCCGTAGAGATAGGCGCCCCTAGAGATAGGCGCCCCTTGAGATAGACGCCCATAGAGATAGGCGCCTCTAGAGATAGGCGCCCATAGAGATAGGCGCCCATAGAGATAGGCGCCCCTAGAGATAGGCGCCCCTAGAGATAGGCGCCCATAGAGATAGGCGCCCAAAGGGATAGGCACCTCTAGAGATTGGCGCCCCTAAAGAGAGGCGCCCGTAGAGATAGGCGCACATAGAGATAGGCGCCCCTAGTGATAGGCGCCCCTAGAGATAGGCGCCGCTAAAGATAGGCGCCCTAGAGATAGGCGCCCCAAGAGATAGGCGCCCATAGAGATAGGCGCCCATAGAAATAGGCGCCCAAAGAGATAGTCGCCTATCGAGATAGGCGCCCCTAGAGATAGGCGCCCATAGAGATATGCGCCCCTAGAAATAGCCGCCCCTAGAGATAGGCACCCCTAGAGATAGGCGCCCCTAGAGATAGGCGCCTCTTGGGATAGACGCCCTTAGAGATACGTGCCCCTAGAGATTGGCGCCCTTAGAGATAGGCGCCCCTAGAGATAGGCGCCCATAGAGATAGGCCGCCGCTAGAGATAGGCGCCCCTAGAGATAGGTGCCCCTAGAGATAGGCGTCCATAGAGATAGGCGCCCCCAGAGATAGGCACCCATAGAGATAAGCGCCCACAGAGATAGGCGCCCCATAGAGATAGGCACCCCTAGAGATAGGCGCCCATAGAGATAGGCGCCCATAGAGATAGGCGCCCATAGAGATAGGCGCCCATAGAGATAGGCGCCCCAAGAGATAGGCGCCCCTAGAGATAGGCGCCCATAGAGATAGGCGCCCAAAGAGATAGCCGCCCATAGAGATGGGCGCCCCTAGAGATAGGCGCCCATAGAGATAGGTGCCCCTAGAGATAGCCGCCCCTAGAGATAGGCACCCCTAGAGATAGGCGCCCTTAGAGATAGGTGCCCCTAGAGATAGGTGCCCCTAGAGGTAGGTGCCCCTAGAGGTAGGTGCCCCTAGAGATGGGCGACCATAGAGATAGGCGCCTCTAGAGATTGGCGCCCCTAAAGAGAGGCGCCCATAGAGATAGGCGCCCATAGAGATAGGCACCCCTAGAGATAGGCGCCCCTTGAGATAGAAGCCCATAGAGATAGCCGCCCCTAGAGATAGGCGCCCATAGAGATAGGTGCCCATAGAGATAGGTGCCCCTAGAGATTGGCGCCCATAGAGATATGCGCCCCTAGAGATAGGCGCTCCTAGAGATAGGCGCCCCTAGAGATAGGCGCCACTAGAGATAGGCGCCCCTAGAGATAGGCGCCCACAGAGATAGGCACCCCTAGAGATAGGCGCCCATAGAGATAGGCGCCCATAGAGATAGGCGCCCATAGAGATAGGCGCCCATAGGGATAGGCGCCCATAGAGATAGGCGCCCATAGAGATAGGCGCCCCTAGAGATAGGCGCCCCTAGAGATAGGCGCCCATAGAGATAAGCGCCCATAGAGATAGGCGCCCCCAGAGATAGGCATACATAGAGATAAGCGCCCACAGAGATAGGCGCCCCATAGAGATAGGCACCCCTAGAGATAGGCGCCCATAGAGATAAGCGCCCATAGGGATAGGAGCCCAAAGAGATAGCCGACCATAGAGATAGGCACCCCTAGAGATAAGCGCCCTTAGAGATAGGCGCCCCTGGAGATAGGCGCCCCTAGAGATAGGTGCCCCTAGAGGTAGGCGCCCCTAGAGATGGGCGACCATAGAGATAGGCGCCTCTAGAGACTGGGGCCCCTAAAGAGAGGCGCCCATAGAGATAGACGCCCATAGAGATAGGCACCCCTAGAGATAGGCGCCCCTTGAGATAGACGCCCATAGAAATAGCCGCCCCTAGAGATAGGCGCCCATAGAGATAGGCGCCCATAGAGATAGGTGCCCCTAGAGATTGGCGCCCATAGAGATATGCGCCCCTAGAGATAGGCGCTCCTAGAGATAGGCGCCCCTAGAGATAGGCGCCACTAGAGATAGGCGCCCCTAGAGATAGGCGCCCACAGAGATAGGCACCCCTAGAGATAGGCGCCCATAGAGATAGGCGCCCATAGAGATAGGCGCCCATAGAGATAGGCGCCCATAGAGATAGGCGCCCATAGAGATAGGCGCCCATAGAGATAGGCGCCCATAGAGATAGGCGCCCATAGAGATAGGCGCCCATAGAGATAGGCGCCCCTAGAGATAGGCACCCCTAGAGATAGGAGCCCATAGAGATAGGCGCCCATAGAGATAGGCGCCCCTAGAGATAGGCGCCCATAGAGATAGGCGCCCATAGAGATAGGCACCCATAGAGATAGGTGCCCCTAGAGATTGGCGCCCATAGAGATATGCGCCCCTAGAGATAGGCGCTCCTAGAGATAGGCGCCCCTAGAGATAGGCGCCCCTAGAGATAGGCGCCCATAGAGATAGGCGCCCAAAGAGATAGCCGCCCATAGAGATGGGCGCCCCTAGAGATAGGCGCCCATAGAGATAGGTGCCCCTAGAGATAGCCGCCCCTAGAGATAGGCACCCCTAGAGATAGGCGCCCTTAGAGATAGGTGCCCCTAGAGATAGGTGCCCCTAGAGGTAGGTGCCCCTAGAGGTAGGTGCCCCTAGAGATGGGCGACCATAGAGATAGGCGCCTCTAGAGATTGGCGCCCCTAAAGAGAGGCGCCCATAGAGATAGGCGCCCATAGAGATAGGCACCCCTAGAGATAGGCGCCCCTTGAGATAGAAGCCCATAGAGATAGCCGCCCCTAGAGATAGGCGCCCATAGAGATAGGTGCCCATAGAGATAGGTGCCCCTAGAGATTGGCGCCCATAGAGATATGCGCCCCTAGAGATAGGCGCTCCTAGAGATAGGCGCCCCTAGAGATAGGCGCCACTAGAGATAGGCGCCCCTAGAGATAGGCGCCCACAGAGATAGGCACCCCTAGAGATAGGCGCCCATAGAGATAGGCGCCCATAGAGATAGGCGCCCCCAGAGATAGGCATCCATAGAGATAAGCGCCCACAGAGATAGGCGCCCCATAGAGATCGGCACCCCTAGAGATAGGCGCCCATAGAGATAAGCGCCCATAGAGATAGGAGCCAAAAGAGATAGCCGACCATAGAGATAGGCGCCCCTAGAGATAGCCGCCCCTAGAGATAGGCACCCCTAGAGATAAGCGCCCTTAGAGATAGGCGCCCCTAGAGATAGGCGCCCCTAGAGATAGGTGCCCCTAGAGGTAGGCGCCCCTAGAGATGGGCGACCATAGAGATAGGCGCCTCTAGAGACTGGGGCCCCTAAAGAGAGGCGCCCATAGAGATAGACGCCCATAGAGATAGGCACCCCTAGAGATAGGCGCCCCTTGAGATAGACGCCCATAGAAATAGCCGCCCCTAGAGATAGGCGCCCATAGAGATAGGCGTCCATAGAGATAGGTGCCCCTAGAGATTGGCGCCCATAGAGATATGCGCCCCTAGAGATAGGCGCTCCTAGAGATAGGCGCCCCTAGAGATAGGCGCCACTAGAGATAGGCGCCCCTAGAGATAGGCGCCCACAGAGATAGGCACCCCTAGAGATAGGCGCCCATAGAGATAGGTGCCCATAGAGATAGGCGCCCATAGAGATAGGCGCCCATAGAGATAGGCGCCCATAGAGATAGGCGCCCATAGAGATAGGCGCCCATAGAGATAGGCGCCCATAGAGATAGGCGCCCATAGAGATAGGCGCCCCTAGAGATAGGCACCCCTAGAGATAGGAGCCCATAGAGATAGGCGCCCATAGAGATAGGCGCCCCTAGAGATAGGCGCCCATAGAGATAGGCGCCCATAGAGATAGGCACCCATAGAGATAGGTGCCCCTAGAGATTGGCGCCCATAGAGATATGCGCCCCAAGAGATAGGCGCTCCTAGAGATAGGCGCCCCTAGAGATAGGCGCCCCTAGAGATAGGCGCCCATAGAGATAGGCGCCCCTAGAGATAGGCGCCCCTAGAGATAGGCGCCACTACAGATAGGCGCCCCTAGAGACAGGCGCCCATAGAGATAGGCACCCCTAGAGATAGGCGCCCATAGAGATAGGCGCCCATAGAGATAGGCGCCCATAGAGATAGGAACCCCTAGAGAAAGGCGCCCCTTGAGATAGACGCCCATAGAGATAGACGCCCCTAGAGATAGGCGCCCATAGAGATAGGCGCCCGTAGAGATAGGTGCCCTTAGAGATTGGCGCCCATAGAGATATGCGCCCCTAGAGATAGGCGCTCCTAGAGATAGGCGCCCCTAGAGATAGGCGCCCCTAGAGAAAGGCGCCCATAGAGATAGGCGCCCCTAGAGATAGGCGCCACTAGAGATAGGCGCCCCTAGAGATAGGCGCCCATATAGATAGGCACCCCTAGAGATAGGCGCCCATAGATATAGGCGCCCATACAGATAGGCGCCCATAGAGATAGGCGCCCATAGAGATAGGCGCCCATAGAGATAGGTGCCCATAAAGATAGGCCCCCATAGAGATAGGCGCCCATAGAGATAGGCGCCCATAGAGATAGGCGCCCATACAGATAGGCGCCCATAGAGATAGGCGCCCATAGAGATAGGCGGCCATAGAGATAGGCGCCCATAGAGAGAGGCGCCCATAGAGATAGGCGCCCATAGAGATAGGCGCCCATAGAGATAGGCGCCCATAGAGATAGGCGCCCATAGAGATAGACGCCCATAGAGAAAGGCGCCCATAGAGATAGGCGCCCATAGAGATATGCGCCCTTAGAGATAGGCGCTCCTAGAGATAGGCGCCCCTAGAGATAGGCGCCTCTAGAGATAGGCGCCCATAGAGATAGACGCCCCTAGAGATAGGCGCCCCTAGAGATAGGCGCCCCTAGAGATAGGCGCCACTAGAGATAGGCGCCCCTATAGATAGGCGCCCATAGAAATAGGCGCCCATAGAGATAGGCGCCCATAGAGATAGGCGCCCATAGAGATAGGCTCCCATAGAGATAGGCGCCCATAGAGATGGGCGCCCATAGAGATAGGCGCCCATAGAGATAGGCGCCCATAGAGATAGGCGCCCATAGAGATAGGCGCCCCTAGAGATAGGCGCCCCTAGAGATAGGCGCCCATAGAGATAGGCGCCCATAGAGATAGGCGCCCATAGAGATAGGTGCCCCTAGAGATTGGCGCCCATAGAGATAGGCGCCCCTAGAGATAGGCGCCCATAGAGATAGGCACCCATAGAGATAGGCGCCCATAGAGATAGGCACCCATAGAGATAGGCGCCCATAGAGATAGGCGCCCATAGAGATAGGCGGCCCTATTGATAGGCGCCCATAGAGATATGCGCCCCTAGAGGTAGGCACCCCTAGAGATAGCACCCCTAGAGATAGGCGCCCCTAGAGATAGGCGCCCATAGAGATAGGCGCCCTTAGAGATAGGCGCCACTAGAGATAGGCGCCCATAGAGATAGGCGCCCATAGAGATAGGCGCCCAAAGAGATAGGCACCCATAGAGATAGCCGCCCATAGAGATAGCCGCCCCTAGAGATATGCGCCCATAGAGATAGGCGCCCATAGAGATAGGCACCCCTAGAGATAGCCGCCCCTAGAGATAGGCGCCCATAGAGATAGGCGCCCATAGAGATAGGCGCCCATAGAGATAAGCGCCCCTAGAGATAGGCGCCCATAGAGATATGCGCCCCTAGAGATAGGCGCCCCTAGAGATAGGCGCCCCTAGAGATAGGCGCCCCTAGAGATAGGCGCCCATAGAGATAGGCGCCCATAAAGATAGGCGCCCATAGAGATAAGCGCCCCTAGAGATAGGCGCCCATAGAGATATGCGCCCCTAGAGATAGGCGCCCCTAGAGATAGGCGCCCCTAGAGATAGACGCCCCTAGAGATAGGCGCCCATAGAGATAGGCGCCCCTAGAGATAGGCGCCACTAGAGATAGGCGCCCCTAGAGATAGGCGCCCATAGAGATAGGCGCCCATAGAGATAGGCGCCCAAAGAGATAGGCGCCCATAGAGATAGGTGCCCCTAGAGATTGGCGCCCATAGAGATATGCGCCCCTAGAGATAGGCGCTCCTAGAGATAGGCAACCCTAGAGATAGGCACCACTGGAGATAGGCGCCCCTAGAGATAGGCGCCCATAGAGATAGGCGCCCATAGAGATAGGCGCCCATAGAGATAGGCGCCCACAGAGATAGGCGCCCATAGAGATAGGCGCCTATCTCTAGGGGCGCCTATCTCTAGGGGCGCCTATCTCTATGGGCGCCTATCTCTATGGGCGCCTATCTTTAGGGGCGCCTATCCCTATGGGCGCCTATCTCTATGGGCGCCTATCTCTAGGGGCGCCTATCTCTAGGGGCGCCTATCTCTATGGGCGCCTATCTCTATGGGCGCCTATCTCTATGGGCGCCTATCTCTATGGGCGCCTATCTCTATGGGCGCCTATCTCTATGGGCGCCTATCTCTATGGGCGCCTATTTCTATGGGCGCCTATCTCTAGGGGCGCCTATCTCTAGTGGCGCCTATCTCTAGGGGCGCCTATCTCTATGGGCGCCTATCTCTAGGGGCGTCTATCTCTATGGGCGCCTATCTCTAGGGGCGCCTATCTCTAGGGGCGCCTATCTCTAGGGGCGCCTATTTCAAGGGGCGCCTATCTCTATGGGCGCCTATCTCTATGGGCGCCTCGCGCCTATCTATAGAGGCGCCTATCTCTATGGGCGCCCATCTCTAGGGGCGCCTATCTCTGAGGGCCACTATCTCTAGGGGCGCCTATCTCTAGGGGTGCCTATCTCTAGGGGCGCCTATCTCTAGGGGCACCTATCTCTAGGGGCTCCTATCTCTAAGGGCGCCTATCTCTATGGGCGCCAATCTCTAGAGGCGCCTATCTCTATGTGCGCCCATCTCTAGGGGCGCTTACCTCTAGGGGCACCTATCTCTAGGAGCGCCTATCTCTATGGGCGCCTACCTCTAGGGGCGCCTATCTCTAGAGGCGCCTATCTATAGGGGCGCCTATCTCTAGGGGCGCCTATCTCTATGGGCGCCTATCTCTATGAGGGCCTATCTCTTTGTGCGCCTATCTCTATGGGCGCCTATCTCTAGGGGCGCCTATCTCTATGGGCGCCTATCTCTATGGGCGCCTATCTCTATGGGTGCCTATCTCTAGGGGCGCCTATCTCTATGGGCGCCTATCTCTAGGGGGGCCTATATCTAGGGGCGCCTATCTCTAGGGGCACGTATCTCTAGAGCCGTCTATCCCGAGGGACGCCTATCTCTAGGGGCACCTATCTATAGGGGTGCCTATCTTTAGGGGCGGCTATCTCAAGGGGTGCCTATCTCTATGGGCGCCTATCTATAGGGGCGCCTATCTCTAGGGGCGCCTATCTTTAGGGGCGCCTTTCTCTAGAGGCGCCTATCTCTAGGGGTGCCTATCTCTAGGGGCGCCTATCTCTAGGGGCACCTATCTCTAGGGGCTCCTATCTCTAAGGGCGCCTATCTCTATGGGCGCCAATCTCTAGAGGCGCCTATCTCTATGGGCGCCTATCTCCAGGGGCGCCTATCTCTAGTGGCGCCTATCTCTAGGGGCGCCTATCTCTATGGGCGCCTATCTCTAGGGGCGCCTATCTCTAGGGGCGCCTATCTCTAGGGGCGCCTATCTCTAGGGGCGCATATCTCTATGGGCGCCTATCTCTAGGGGCGCCTATCTCTATGGGCGCCTATCTCTATGGGCGCCTATCTCTATGGGCGCATATCTCTATGGGCGCCTATCTCTATGGGCGCCTATCTCTATGGGCGCATATCTCTATGGGCGCCCATCTCTAGGGGCGCCTACCTCTAGGGGTACCTATCTCTAGGGGCGCCTATCTCCAGGGGCGCCTATCTCTAAGGGCGCCTATCTCTAGGGGTGCCTATCTCTAGGGGCGGCTATCTCTAGGGGCACCTATCTCTATGGGCGCCTATCTCTAGGGGCGCCTATCTCTATGGGCGGCTATCTCTTTGGGCGCCTATCTCTAGGGGCGCTTATCTCTAGGGGCGCCTATCTCTAGCGGCGGCCTATCTCTATGGGCGCCTATCTCTAGGGGCGCCTATCTCTAAGGGCGCCAATCTCTAAGGGCACGTATCTCTAGGGGCGTCTATCCCGAGGGGCGCCTATCTCTAGGGGCGCCTTTCTCTAGGGGTGCCTATCTCTAGGGGCGGCTATCTCTAGGGGCGCATATCTCTATGGGCGCCTATCTCTAGGGGCGCCTATCTCGATAGGCGACTATCTCTTTGGGCGCCTATCTCTTGGGGCGCCTATCTCTAGGGCGCCTATCTTTAGCGGCGCCTATCTCTAGGGGCGCCTATCACTAGGGGCGCCTATCTCTATGTGCGCCTATCTCTATGGGCGCCTCTCTTTAGGGGCGCCAATCTCTAGAGGTGCCTATCCCTTTGGACGCCTATCTCTATGGGCGCCTTTCTCTAGGGGCGCCTATCTCTAGGGGCGCCTATCTCTATGGGCTCCTATCTCTATGGGCGCCTATCTCTAGGGGCGCCTATCTCTATGGGCGTCTATCTCAAGGGGTGCCTATCTCTAGGGGCGCCTATCTCTACGGGCGCCTATCTCTATGGGCGCCTCTCTTTAGGGGCGCCAATCTCTAGAGGTGCCTATCTCTATGGTCGCCCATCTCTAGGGGCGCCTACCTCTAGGGGCACCTATCTCTAGGGCCGCCTATCTTTAGGGGCGCCTATCTCTAGTTGCGCCTATCTCTAGGGGTGCCTTTCTCTAGGGGCGGCTATCTCTAGGGGCACCTATATCTAGGGCCGCCTATCTCCAGGGGCGCCTATCTCTAGGGGCGCCTATCTCTAGGGGTGCCTATCTCTAGGGGCGGCTATCTCTAGGGGCGCCTATCTCTATGGGCGCCTATCTCTATGGGCGCCTATCTCTAGGGGCGCCTATCTCTATGGGCGCCTATCTCTATGGGCGCCTAACTCTATGGGCGCCTACCTCTATGGGCGCCTATCTCTTTGGGCGCCTATCTCAATGGGCGCCTATCTCTAGGGGCGCCTATCTCTAGGGGTGCCTATCTCTATAGACGCCTATCTCTATGGGCGCCTATCTCTAGGGGCGCCTATCTCTATGGGCGTCTATCTCTAGCAGCGCCCATCTCTATAGGCGCCTATCTCTAGGGGCGCCTATCTCTAGGGGCGCCTATCTCTATGTGCGCCTATCTCTATGTGCGCCTATCTCTATGGGCGCCCCCTAGAGATAGGCGCACATAGAGATAGGCGCCCATAGAGATAGGCGCCCATAGAGATAGGCGCCCATAGAGATAGGCGCCCCTAGAGATAGGCGCCCATAGAGATAGGCGCCCATAGAGATAGGCGCCCATAGAGATAGGCGCCCCTAGAGATAGGCGCCCATAGAGATAGGCGCCCAAAGAGATAAGCACCCATAGAGATAGGCGCCCATAGAGATAGGCGCCCATAGAGATAGGCGCCCATAGAGATAGGCGCCCCTAGAGATAGGTGCCCATAGAGCTTGGCCCCCCTAGAGATAGGCGCCCCTAGAGATAGGCGCCGCTAAAGATAGGCGCCCATAGAGATAGGCGCCCCTAGAGATAGGCGCCCATAGAGAAAGGCGCCCATAGAGATAGGCGCCCATAGAGATAGGCGCCCATAGAGATAGGCGCCCAAAGAGATAGGCGCCCATAGAGATAGGCGCCCCTAGAGATAGGCGCCCCTAGAGATAGGGGCCCATAGAGATAGGCACCCAAAGAGATAGGCACCCATAGAGATAGGCGCCCATAGAGATAGGCGCCCATAGAGATAGGCGCCCATAGAGATAGGCGCCCCTAGAGATAGGCGCCCATAGAGATAGGCGCCACTAGAGATAGGCGCCCCTAGAGATAGGCGCCCATAGAGATAAGCGCCCGTAGAGATAGGCGCCCATAGAGATATGCGCCCATAGAGATAGGCGCCCATAGAGATAGGCGCCCCTAGAGATAGGCGCCCCTAGAGATAGGCGCCCATAGAGATAGGCGCCCAAAGAGATAGGCGCCCATAGAGATAGGTGCCCCTAGAGATAGGCGCCCAAAGAGATAGGCGCCCCTAGAGATAGCCGCCCCTAGAGATAGGCATCCGTAGAGATAGGCGCCCCTAGAGATATGCGCCCCTGGAGATAGGCGCCACTAGAGATAGGTGCCCCTAGAGGTAGGCGCCCCTAGAGATGGGCGCCCATAGAGAAAGGCGCCTCTAGAAATTTGCGCCCCTAAAGAGAGGCGCCCATAGAGATAGGCGCCTATAGAGATATGTGCCCCTAGAGATAGGCGCCCCTAGAGATAGACGCCCATAGAGATAGGCGCCCCTAGAGATAGGCGCCCATAGAGATATGCGCCCATAGAGATAGGCGCCCCTAGAGATAGGCGCCCCTAGAGATAGGCGCCCATAGAGATAGGCGCCCAAAGGGATAGGCACCTCTAGAGATTGGCGCCCCTAAAGAGAGGCGCCCATAGAGATAGGCGCACATAGAGATAGGCGCCCCTAGTGATAGGCGCCCATAGAGACAGGCGCCCCTAGAGATAGGCGCCCATAGAGATAGGCGCCCCTAGAGATAGGCGCCCATAGAGATAGGCGCCCAAAGGGATAGCCACCTCTAGAGATTGGCGCCCCTAAAGAGAGGCGCCCATAGAGATAGGCGCACATAGAGAAAGGCGCCCCTAGTGATAGGCGCCCCTAGAGATAGGCGCCGCTAAAGATAGGCGCCCTAGAGATAGGCGCCCCAAGAGATAGGCGCCCATAGAGATAGGCGCCCATAGAGATAGGCACCCAAAGAGATAGTCGCCTATCGAGATAGGCGCCCCTAGAGATAGGCGCCCATAGAGATATGCGCCCCTAGAGATAGCCGCCCCTAGAGATAGGCACCCCTAGAGATAGGCGCCCCTAGAGATAGGCGCCCATAGAGATAGGCGCCACTAGAGATAGGCGCCCCTAGAGATAGGCGCCCATAGAGATAGGCTCCCGTAGAGATAGGCGCCCATAGAGATATGCGCCCATAGAGATAGGTGCCCATAGAGATAGGCGCCCATAGAGATAGGCGCCCCTAGAGATAGGCGCCCATAGAGATAGGCGCCCAAAGAGATAGGCGCCCATAGAGATAGGCGCCCCTAGAGATAGGCGCCCATATAGATAGGCGCCCCTAGAGATAGGAGCCCATAGAGATATGCGCCCATAGAGATAGGCGCCCCTAGAGATAGGCGACCCTAGAGATAGGCGCCCATAGAGATAGGCGCCCAAAGAGATAGGCGCCTCTAGAGATTGGCGCTTTCCATATCTAGGGGCGCCTATCTCTAGGGGCACGTATCTCTAGAGCCGTCTATCCCGAGGGGCGCCTATCTCTAGGGGCGCCTATCTCTAGGGGTGCCTATCTTTAGGGGCGGCTATCTCTAGGGGTGCCTATCTCTATGGGCGCCTATCTCTAGGGGCGCCTATCTCTATGGGCGCCTATCTCTTTGGGCGCCTATCTCTATGGGTGCCTATCTCTAGGGGCGCCTATCTCTAGGGGCGCCTATCTCTATGGGCGCCTATCTCTATAGGCGCCTATCTCTATGGGCGCCTATCTCTATCGGTGCCTATCTCTAGGGGTGCCTATCTCTATGGGCGCCTATCTCCAGGGGCGCCTATCTCTAGTGGCGCCTATCTCTAGGGGCGCCTATCTCTATGGGCGCCTATCTCTAGGGGCGCCTATCTCTAGGGGCGCCTATCTCTAGGGGCGCCTATCTCTAGGGGCGCATATCTCTATGGGCGCCTATCTCTAAGGGCGCCTATCTCTATGGGCGCCTATCTCTATGGGCGCCTATCTGTAGGGGCGCATATCTCTATGGGCGCCAATCTCTAGGGGCACCTATCTCTATGGGCGCCTATCTCTATGGGCGCCTATCTCTATGGGCGCCTATCTCTTTGGGCGCCTATCTCTATGGGCGCCTATCTCTATGGGCGCCTATCTCTAGGGGCGCCTATCTCTAGTGGCGCCTATCTCTAGGGGCGCCTATCTCTATGGGCGCCTATCTCTAGGGGCGCCTATCTCTAGGGGCGCCTATCTCTAGGGGCGCCTATCTCTAGGGGCGCATATCTCTATGGGCGCCTATCTCTAGGGGCGCCTATCTCTATGGGCGCCTATCTCTATGGGCGCCTATCTCTATAGGCGCCTATCTCTAGGGGCGGCTATCTCTAGGGGTGCCTATCTCTATGGGCGCCTATCTCTAGGGGCGCCTATCTCTATGGGCGCCTATCTCTTTGGGCGCCTATCTCTATGGGTGCTGTTATAGTCACAATAGGCTCCAATGTGCCTAAAACGAAAGATAGAGTGCACAGCCGGATTTCTTCACAGTGGCTTCAAACGTTCATAGCGTTCTGGTCACAACTTCAAATGACCTGATTTAACTTGGATCTGGAGCGTCTGAACGTCGCCTATAATAGGCAATTCAGATCCCACGATTTGACTAAGTATTGACGACACAGTGTTGGTTTGAACGAACGGCACTATGGCAGCCACTATAGTCTTAGAACACAAAATAGGAAGAGATCTGAAGAGTTACGAGTTGGGAATGACTCCCAGCTCCTACAAACCCCAAGAGCCGAGGTACAGTGATGTGGAACAGTGCCACACTGTCCCCAACCACGAAGGGTCTTGAAACTACCCTTCAATAGGGCCTACACCAAGTGAAATGTTACACTACACAAAGTAATGTAACTATCTTCAATATCTTGAGGTGTACCCTTTTGGCGAGCTTTGAAATCACCTGAGGCTTGACACCAAGGCTCGGGCTCTACATCACAAACTCATCCTTGAGTTCTTGATGGGTCTGCTGCACACACCTGCGACACACCGAACGTTCGACACAGGACAAAATAGAAACCGCGCACGACAAAATAAAAACCGCGCGCGAGACACAAACGACCGCGTAACACGCGTCTAGTGATAACTCGCTATTGACTCAACACACACACTCGACATCATGACTCAACATTCACACACAATTATAAGCATGAAATATATATTATCCCATGCCTTCATACCATTCCATACACACACACACATGCACGCACAAGGACTACAAGCCGAGTGCAAACCATAGGGTTGCACCAACAAACTCCCCCTCGGATTGTTGGCCTTAGGATATGTTGCTCTGTCAGTTCAGAGCCATCCCAGCCAGCTTGCAACACCTCCAATGCTTCTGCTCCACCAGCCTCTTGGTCATCATGTCAGCCGGCTGCCCCGTGGTCTTCACGTAGCGCAGCTCAACTTCACCCGCGGTTACCATGCCCCTCGTCCAATGCCACTTCACCCTCATGTGCTTCGTGAGTCCATGCAACACAGGGTTCTTAGCAAGAGCAATGGCACCCTGGTTGTCACAATACAGTGGGGTAGGTCCTTGCTGCTCCTCCCCCAATTCAGCCAACAAACGCTGCTGCCACACAATCTCCCGTACGGCACGGAAGAGTGCCATGTACTCGGACTCCACCGAGCTCAAAGCTTGGTCAACCTGCTTCTTGCTCTCCCAAGCAGTTGGGCCTCCACCAACACAGCATATGAAGCCTTCCACACTTGTCATGTCCTCTAGTTCTGATGCATATGAAGCATCCGAGTAGGCGGTGAGGAACAAACGCCCGGGTTCAACACCATCCGCGCCCTTTTGGCGCCTTTGTGCCGCCGCCGAGTATTGCAGCCCAACGGTCGGTGTTTGGCCAAGATACTTGGCCACCCTCATACCAGCTGCTACCTGCTCCTCATTAGGGCATTGCACAACCCTAGCCAGCTGCCCGGTAGCAAACGCGACGTCCGGTCGGGTGTTTACCGCCGCATACATGAGGCTGCCCACCAACGAGTGAAATCGGCGCCTCTCCTCTTCTCCAACGCTCTCCTCTTCTGGCCCCTTCACACACTTGAACCCAGAGGGAAAGGGAGTAGCCACATGACCTTCGCTCTGGCCGAAGTTGGCAGCCAACGCCTCCAGGTACTTCCGTTGGTGCACTCGCATGCTCCGCTTCTCCACGTCTCGTTCGATGTGGAGCCCAAGGTAGAAGTTCACGTCACCAAGGGACTTGCACTTGAACTTGTCATGCAGCTTCAGCATCACCTCCTTCACAAGGTCAGAGGAGGGTGAGAATATGAAAATGTCATCCACATAAACCACCATGAAGCTCCTCTGCTCCCCCTCGCCAAGCATGAACAAGGAGTGATCGGCCGTTGAGGGGGTGAAGCCGATCTCCTCCAACACTTCGCGCAGCTTCATGTACCATTGCCTAGGGGCCTGCTTCAGCCCATAGAGGGCCTTCTTCAGCTTCCACACTCTGCCACTACCATCATCAAACCCCTCTGGCTGCGCCATAAAAATCTCCTCCTCAAGGGTGCCGTTAAGGAATGCTGTCACAATGTCCATTTGCTTCACCACCCATCCTTTGATGGCGGCTCCCGCGAATAGGGTTCGCAGCGTCGTCGGCTTCACCACAGGGACAAACAGCTCCGTGAAGTCCACCTTCTCCTTCTGCTGGTACCCCTTGGCTACAAGCCTGGACTTGTAACGCTCGATCTTGCCGTCGGCATCCGATTTGATTTTGAAGAGCCACTTGGACGTTATCGCCGTACGCCCCTCCGGTAGCTCCACCAATTCAAACGTGTCATTCTCCTCGATGCTCTTCAGCTCACTCTCCATGGCCTTCTTCCACTCCTCAGCATCACTACTCTCCAAAGCCTCCTTGAGAGTTGCTGGTTCTCCTGGCATCTCCACCGGAGAGAAGAACGCGAAGGCACACTCCTCGTAGTCACTCTCCTCATCGTCTCCGACCATCATTGCCGCTCCGGCCAGGGCTGTCTTGCCTTGCTTTCCAAGTGCATCATAGGTCAGCCTATTAGGGGGTTGAACTCTCCTCTTCCCCCTTCCTTCCTCCTCAGCTGCAGGGACTTGAAGGCCTTGGCGTTGCTG